AATCTCCCATTCGAACGTCCATCAATTACCAAAACGTATTGCTTTCCTGCGACCGCCTGCCCACCCGCCTGCCCGCCTGCCCGCTCGCCGCACCGGCCCGTCGCCCGCCCGCCGCCGTGCCGTCCGTCCGTTCCGCCGTCGCCCGCCCGTGCGCCCGCCCGTCGTCGCCCGTTCGTCCGTCCCGTCGTCCGCCCGTCGTCCGCCCGTCTGCTCGCCCCGTCGCCCGCCCGCGCCCGCCACGTCCGTCGCCCGCCCGTCGTCCCCGCCCGCCGCCCGCCCCGCGCGCCCGCCCGGCCCGCCCGCGCCGCCCGATCGTCGCGCGCCCGCCCGCCCGCCCGCCCGTCCCGTCCGTTCCGCCCGTCGCCCGCCCGTTCGTCCGCCCCGTACGTCCGCCCTGTCGCCCCGCCCGTCGCCCGCCGTCCGTCGCCCGCCCGTCCGCCCGCCCGGCGGTCGTCCGCCTCGTCCGCCCGCTCCGTCGCCCGTCCGTCCCGTACGTCCGCGCCGTCGCCCGCCCGTCCCGCCGGCCCGTCGACCTCGCCCGGTCGCCCGGCCCGTCGCCCGCCCCGTCGGCCTCCGCCGCGTCGTCCGCCCACGTCGTCCGCCCGTCGTCTCACGCCCGTTCCCCGCCCGTCCAGCTCCGCTCTCGTCCGTCCGCCCCCGCCCGCCCGTCGCCCGCCCGGTCGCCTGCCGTCGCCGCCCGTCCACCCGTGCCGTACCGGCGCCCGCCCCGCGCCTGCCCGCGCCGCCGCCCCGCCGCCGCCCCGCCCCGCGCGCCCCCCGCGTCGCGCCCGCCCGCCCGCCCGCCCGCGCCGCCCGCGCCGCTCTCGCGCCTGCGCGTCGCCACCGCACGTCGCCCACGCCGGGCCCGCCGGCGTAGGTCGCGTTGCTGGCAGCCGCATAACCGCGCACGCCCCGCGGCGGGATCCAAAACAAATCCGGGCGGGCTAGGATCGCGGCGCGCCTGCACCGGGGGCGCGCGCTCAAGGTTTATTGGCTTAGCGCGCGCGTCTAAGCTGCGCCGAGGCGCGCAACGAAGCAGGCGGGGCGGGGCCGGACCGAGGCGGACGGGACGGGCCGAACGCTAGGCCTTTGGTGCAGTCGTCAGCCTTATACGACTGTTTCAGGAGTCAAAATAAGGTTACTTTAAATTAAACTGTTTAAAAATAATGTTACATTATATTAAAAACATGCAGGTTAATTTTGATTATAATTAATTATCATTGTTATACGAGCGATTTTCCGCCATTGGTCCGGATATTTATTTATCACGTCGTCTACAAAAACACCTTCGCCGTCCTGCAAGCTTTGCCCGCCCTCCCCCGCACGCCATTTTCGACCTGCCACGGCGCTCAACCACTCTTCCCGATCTCTTCTTGATCTTTCTGTTCCTCCCGCTCATAGAGGAATTTGAAGAGGAGAAACGGAAGTAAGAAAATGAGGAGAGGAAGAGGGTAATACGAAGAGGAAGAGGCTGAAGTAGAAGAAAACGAAAAGCAAGAAAAAGAAGACGAAAAGAAAGAGGATAATAACGAAATAAAAGAGGATAAAAACGAAGAGGAAGAACAACAGTAAGAAGAAGAAGAAGAAGAGAAGCAGAAGAAGAAGAAAAGAAGAAGAAGGAAGAAGAGAAGAAGAAGAGAAGAAGTAGAAGAAGAAGAAGAAGAAGAGAAGAAGAAGAAGAAGAAGAAGAAGAAGAAGAAGAAGAAAGAAGAAGAAGAAGAAGAAGAGAGAAGAAGAAGAAGAAGAGAAGAAGAAGAGAAGGAAGAAGAAGAGAAGAAAGAAGAAGAAGAAGAAGAAGAAGAACAAGAAGAAGAAGAAGAAGAAGAAGAAGAAGAAGAAGAAGAAGAAGAAGAAGAAGAAGAAATCGAATATTAAGAAGAAGAAATCGAAGCGGAAGGAGAAGAAATCGAAGCGGAAGGAGAAGAAGACGAAGAGCATAAAACATAATAAGACGCATCGGCTACTTCTATTCATACTTCATTAATCAGATGACTTTGAGAACAAAGCCCTAAAGCAGAAGACCAAAAAATATCCAGTGAATCCTCTTATTCCTTGTGGGCACGGGGACCAAATCGTGAGCTTCAAGCACTGAACTGAGACCACGCCAATGAGAAACCTGCTCCATTTCCCACCGCCGCTCTCGACTTTTGAGTCGAGAATTGCGAAAGCGCGCGTCGAGTTTCGCGTCGAGCAATCGCGAGTAATAAATCTGCGCGTGGAGGCGTCTGCGGGGCGAGACTTGGCCCGTCGGATAAATCAGCCTGTCCAGATCCTCTGATAGCTGACCGGCGGACGAATAGTGTTGCTGCGTTTCGGGAGGTGACGACAACTCCAGGTCTCGGCGTCAAACAGATGGCAGAGGGTGTAATCGTTAGCGCATCGGACTGTTGTACCCACGTTGGCGGATTCAAACCCGATCGACGCCGTGGATTTTGAGGGCGAAAAAAATCGTGCGCCTTCCATCGAAGGGGAAGTAAAGCCGGCTGTCCCATGTTAGTAGATTTACTTGCATGTAAAAGATCCTCAAGCCTAAATGGCGCCTCTGAGTTAAATTCAAATCGCCTGTTTCTCGCCCAAGAAATACCTCCTTTCTCCGCTAGTTGGTGAAAGGAGCGTAGCGAAATTTGCGTGGTCAGACGGAAGAGCGGGCCTGATGGACCGAGTCTCGCCACGTAAAATAAGGCATCAATTCAATTCATGCATGTGCACTGGTCGCGAAAAATGCATACGCCTCTTACCCGAAAAGTCGGGTGGTCTTCGGGCGTCGATTGATGTCATTGCAGTGCCAAGCGAGTCCCGACGGTGGCAGGATTTTCGACACTACTTACATAGCTAGCTCCAATTCAGCAGCTGACTAGAGGAGAAATCTAGCGGCCGGTTGCTCTCATCGGTATAGTTTTGCGTGGTTTCTCCGATCAACACCCGACGAATGCCGGAGCAGTTCTCTAACAAACGGTCCACGGACTGCGCGCGATTTTACCTTCCTCTTCATTGCCCTATCCTCACCCGTTACATACACTTACTCTTATGTGCACTAAACTACCACACTAGTCGGTAGCTAAGAGGTTGTCCTGGATGGGGCAATTGGTGCAAGGGCGTAGGCAGGTGTATCTGGGCGAATCGGATCGGATCGGATCGGATCGGGCGGAGCGAGACGGAACGGAGTTGTTAGGAGGTGAGGGAGCGAGGCGTCAGTGATGTTAACAAAAGAACTTCCAATTTACACTGTTGATGATATTCATTTCACGTCCTGGCTAGTAGATTATTGTGGTAAATAAATACCCGAGAAACGCGGGGTTCCTTCAGGATAGTTCACAAATGCATTGCAAGCGCAGGCATTCGGACCTCTCAACGCTAGGTAAGGGGTTAGTTCACCACTTCTTCCAGCGACAGCGCTCATGTATCACGTATTACAAGCAGGCTGGTAAATAGCAATGTATGCTGAACTACGTTATGTCTCACAACGTCTGCCGTTAGTTTTCGACACTGACAACAGTATGGTGTGAATTGGCTACTTTCTCCAGGGGAAGGCCATTCTCGCTTATTGCAGCGCTCTCTGAATAGATTTTACGAAAGCTCCCGGAGAATATTTCTTTTACAATTTCTCTGATTTGGATTCATTGAGTTTCAAAGAGTGAACATCATAAATGAAGCACCTGCAAATGGACTGTGTCCTTGACAGAGATAAATGAATACTATACTTATCAATCGGGTGGCGTCAATTTCTGAAGGGGGATTGTCACCGGCGCCCCCCGTCCGTTAAAGCGCCCCCATTAAACAGCAACCAAGCCGACACAAGCCATACGTACTAATGCAGCTTGCGAAGGAACTAGCTGCGCTTAGCGAAGGGTTTCGTGGATTAGGCGACTCTTGTCTCTGCGCATAGTTCAAGACATTAGGTCTGTCGGTACGGTATGAAATCTGATCGCCGACCGACGTCTCATTTCATTTAACAGCGAAGATTCTTTCTCAAGTTCGTGTAAAAATGCATATTTCTCGGGTTGATAGTATCATTTTTGGTGTGAAATTCAGAAAGTAGTGTTAACAAATATATATATATATATATATATATATATATATATATACACGAAAAATAGTTAGACATGAACTACGGTCTAATGGAAGTATACGGGTCAAGAAAACACGAGAGGAAGTATACGAAGTAGTTCATGTCTAACTATAGTTCTTGAAATGGATTTCTTGGCCGTCTAAACCTCTTTACAAATAACCGAAGTGTTGACTTCAGCTACAAACCCGAACTGCCCATAAGTTTATCTTGTCAAATTTTTGTTATTTTCTGATTGTTCGTGGCCTGCAAATGAAGTAGCATATGTTTTAAGTGTTCCCGTTCTTCTTGTATAAATTCCACTACGAAATATTTTTGCTTGTTTTAAAATTTCCTTACTTGCGTAACAACATCCATCTCGAAAATATCCTAGCTTATCGAAGCTTGAGATCATAACATATCATACCTTGAGATGAACTACAGTGATAATTAAATATTTTCATTTACTTGCTCTTCTGTGGTAGCACCAACGGTTAAAAAACTCAAAAAATTAATTTCATTGAACTTAATGAACAACCAAATTCTTTGTTCCAGTTTCCAATAAGGTTTCTCTCGCAAATCCCATACATGTCCGCATCTGCCACATTTCTCCCGTTAACTTTAACCTCCTTCCTTCCAGCTTCATAAACCTGCTCATACGGTATCCGTCTAGGAATTAAAAATCGGCTCACCGGAGCCGGTTATGACTTTAAAACCGGTTACGGCGTGCCAAACCCGACCAGTTATAATACGCAGCCGAGGACCTTGAACTCGCAACCCATCCGGCGGAGCGCCCTGACCACTCGCACTGCGACTCCGCCGCCTGACGACCGCAGCGCTGCCGTCTGCGAGCTGTGGAGACGATAGTCGTTTGTTGTTCTGTCTGGAAAAAGATTGTTGACAAATAAAGGAATGCAGCTAGGATGCGGGACACATTTTACCAATCCAGAATGCGATGATTGTGGAGAATATCTCCGAGGTATGTTTGTAACATGATGGCTTAGGTCACGAACACCATTTTATTGTTAAAAAGTATCAAAGTACATTGCAAAAGAGTTCCTTTATTCAATGTCTAACAGGAGACCTAGAAGCAAAGTGCCTTACTGCACTATTTTTATATAAAAACATGAACACCACAGTATGATACAATTGAGACACGTATAATGTAAACAAACAACACACTGTGCCCAACGCCATGGTTGTTGAAAAAGTGTACATCTCGCGAAGAAATGTACTGCCTTCGAAAACATACATTTAGCAATACCGTTCTTATAGTATTTGAATATTTAGCAATAGCGTTCGATATACGGATGATACATAGTCGAAAATGTTAAATACAGAAAACAAAAACATTGGGGTCATATTGAAAATATAATATTGAGCTTTATAACTATTGCATTAAATGATAGTACAGCTAAATTTCTCTTAAACGTACCGCCTCAATAAATTAGATAATATTGAATTTCGTGTTTTACTGCGCCTCAGTTCGTGTTTAACTACACATTCAATTATCATTATGTTAATTCAATTCCTTAGCTGAACATTGCCATTTATTGGATACCGCTTCTTCACTTTTGATCAATGAAAACGATTTTCTGGTTGTCTTTCGTATGTTGCATGTAAATAAATAAATACGGGAACTATTAATAAAGTATATTTCCAACTTTTCATTTAAAGTTACTGCCTATAATTGTCCCGCAAGGGGAAGATAGGTACTCTCGTGTAATAATATTTAAAGAATTTTTTTTATTCACATACGTCGTCTTTAATGTCAGGAGAGTGGATACTATATTTCACTTAAAACAAACTTTCACAACCCTCTGTCTTTGAGATATTAGTCAATATTTTTAATGGTGCGACATTATTCGAAAGAATTACTGCTGAAAACTTAATCCCACGAGACTGCCTGCTTAAGAAGCGGAAGTACTACATCTTCCTCGAAAGAAAGCAATTATTTCTATAAGACTTCATCTTCACCTTCTCACAGAAAATAATTTTTACATAGAATGAAATGAAGTGAAACCTCAGTAATATATTCGATGAAATTGGTAAAATAATGCCACCTCCTTTTTTTAAAACAATTCTTAGTCTCCCATTGTTTGCCCATGCTGCTTTTCCTATTTAAGTTATCCTTACCCTTTAGTTTCATCATGATTCGCTCCCTACGCCATGTATTAACGTTTCGGAACGATTGTGTTATCGATAGTTTTACTGAAAACAAAAATATCGTTGGATTATTCGTGGTTCTAGAGACGATGAAGCACATTGAAAATACCAACTACTTTGAGAATATAAAATTGTATTTAATATCATTAATTTTATAACATATTGTTATGTCATGTAACACACACAAAAAAGTTGTATTTACATGAATATTTTAAGCGAAAATGAAATGTTCTCATGTGAAAATAGAGGAACAATTTGTAATTTAATAAATGAAATACGAGCAATATGACTTTAGAGTGATACTAATTTATTTACCGTTTTTTTCTGGTTGTCAGATTTTGTCAAAAACTCTCGTTGCTATAATTTATTCTTAATGCAACTAATATTACTGGAGGAGTGGGGCTAGGTGATCCGGGTCTCAAGAAAGCTTGCGCGTACAACACTTGTGTTTTCTTTGAATGCATGTGAGTGTTTCGGCATCATCTCCAGAGTGAAAAATGTCATCTCGATTTGCAGGCGTTGCGGTGGCTCGGCCGGAAGACTCGTCGCAAAGTGGCAGTCAGCCTGTGGGGAAGGAGCCCCACGAGCGAAGATCTCACCGGCAACGGAGCCCAACCGGGAGGATTCTTGTGTCAGGGAAGAAGATCACCGTCTCCACCAGCCAGTCCCATGGTGAAGTCAGCGGCCATGATCAGGCAGTCCAGCCTCACCAAGCTGGGTGTCATGATTAACACCGCTGTCAACAGCAAACGGAATAATAGTAAATCTTTTGCTTTTCAACTGTTGCATTTCTCCTATCACGTTGTGAGAACCATTACATTGTATAATTCCGTGAGAATAACGTTTTCTGACTCTTCTCGGATTCCAAAACATTCGTCAGAGTATTTTCCATCTACCGTCATCTTAGTGCAATTTTGAGTAAAATTTTTGTGTGCTCCTAAAAACATTGAATAGTAAAATAATCACGGCCTATGATGAAATAATCGCATATGCCTGGACTTCAAATTACATTTGCTTTACAGGTGAAGGGAATATGATTATAAAATTAAATTTAAAGAAAATATTGCATTTATGATTATCTAGATTAGGATAATTATTTATTCCTGCTCATTGATAGCGACATTTCGATAACTAGAAAGAATAGGTTGTTTTAACTTATTTTTGAGATTGTTTTGAATTATTTCCCAAAGGTTTAAATACATTGGCTTTGTTCGTGTGTTCTCTTTGGCGCCATCTTGCACGCTTGGCGACTGTCACTTTTCTTAAATTTCGCACCGTGCGTGACGTCACAGTCGTTGTTATGCACTCGTGAGTGCCGCCATTGCGCCTGGGCATTTTGCATTGAAATGTGACAAATCCCTATTCATCGGTTTCCCCGTGTTGCTAAATTACTAAATAACCGGTTTATATTATTCAGCATACACAACGGAACTCGCGATAGATCTCCCGGAGTCTGATATGGCCGGTAAGTTTTTCGTTTGTAGGCTGTACTCCTGCGACCTATTTGGTCCTATCCTCTGAGCGGAGAGACGGTTGAGCGTAGTATCTAGGTTAAGATGAACGGTATATGCATGGATTATTTTAACAAAGTGCTCGGTTTTGTGTGTGTACGACTGGATATCAGTGTGAGTTATGTTTCAACATTGGTAAATTGGTTCGTTTGCAGGTAATGGGGAGATCCAGTGGTGTTTTTCACAGGTGAAAGGGACGCTTGACGATGATGTGACAGAGGGTGAGTGCAATTTGAAAATATAAACAAGAACGTGTGATTTAAGGTCTACTACGTGTACTCCGAAACATGCCCTTGCATTTCATGCAGTGAATTTCTGTCGAATTGTCATTGATTATTTGTGTTGGCTACTGCCTTGTTTCATTGCTGTACTACAAAATACTTTGTTTTGTTGGTCTTATTTAAAACTGGCTGTAGACATTCTAGTTCGTAGTTACCATTTGTAACATTTAATTCTTGAATTTAGAGGCCAATCATTCTTTATATATTTTTAGTTTATCATTACATTTCTACCTGAATCAATTAAAATAGCTCTTGTAATGCCCATGTCATTTCCCATGTTGCTAGAAGCAGTCATTTTTGTTCAAGTCTTACCCTCATTTTGTGAATTTGATTCACATAATTTTGTAAAATTTTTTAATATTATTGTATCGTGCATTACTACTGTTACAGAATATATCATTTTCTAAAGCAAGAGGAAAGTTCATGTGAATACTTCCTTTTCTGATATGTGAAATGTTGACTAGTTTATGTAATATTTCAAATTGAAGTCCATTGAACTTGCTTTGGTTTATTGATCTGTAACCAAACATTTTTATATTTAGTTAGATTTTAAATAGTTGTTAGCAGTGGTAATTAGTTTGTATTGTAACATTTTGAATAATGGGTTTTTCTGCTAGAATAATTACTCACACCTTTAATTTTTTCTTTTTGTAGTAAATGTTAATATTTGAAAATTGGAAAATTATTTTGAACTGTAGGTGTGTTTTAATTATTTATAAATTTTCAGTAAGAGAAATTTTGAATTTTTTTTAATAAGGTTAATTGAATTTGTATTTTTCATGTCTTCATGCAGCTGACATCATTTCCTGTGTTGAATTTAACCATGATGGTGATCTCCTTGCCACGGGAGATAAGGGTGGAAGGGTTGTCATCTTTCAACGAGATCCGGTTGTAAGTATATTTTCCATATTTCCTATTATTTTCTTCAAGTATTTGTGAAGAAGATGCTCACCCTTTTGCCAAATAAAAAAAAAATATGCTGTATTTCTTGTAAGAGTTTATGGAAATGGAAGTTCTGAAAATTCAAGATTTCAGATTATTGAAAATTAGTTTAAAGGTACTACATACAAATAGTATGAATCAAATTGTAGTAGTGCTTGCATGTTTGAAAAATTATATTCTGAAAACTTTAACATGAAAAAAATGCTCATCCTGTTGTACAAAGTTTCTTTATTTACATCAGTGTGGGCTCTCATCACTGCATTATTTAAGTATTGTGTTGAGGTTTTTGAATGATTTGATTCTCTTTTAGAGGATTGTTCTTGGTTTCATTGATTTTCAATGTTTCAGAGTAAAAACTGCATACCTCGGCGGGGAGAATATAACGTTTATAGTACCTTTCAAAGCCATGAACCGGAATTTGATTACCTTAAAAGCTTAGAAATTGAAGAAAAAATCAATAAAATTAGATGGCTTAAAAGAAAAAATCAAGCCCATTTTCTACTATCAACTAATGGTATATAATATTATCATAATTATTGTTTGAAGTACTTGTCTTGATTCTCCTTGGGGAAGTAAATTATTGTTTAATTCATAGATAAAACTATCAAGCTTTGGAAGGTATCGGAACGTGACAAGAGAGTTGAAGGTTATAACACCAAAGAAGAAAATGGACAGATGAGGGATCCTTCTTGCATCACAGCCTTACGGGTATGTAGATGTAACATTTAAGTAATGTACATTTTATAGTTCATTGTATTGAATTTTTTTTATTAACATTCAATTTATTTGTATTTAAATTTTATGCTTATGTTGAAGGTGCCCGTTATAAAACCTATGGAGTTGATGGTAGAAGCTTCTCCACGAAGAATATTTGCCAATGCACATACCTACCACATAAATTCAATTAGCGTAAATTCAGATCAAGAAACTTACCTATCAGCAGATGATCTCCGAATTAACCTGTGGCATCTAGAAATTACTGATCAAAGCTTCAGTATCCTTTTCTGCTATACAGTTGTTTTGAGATATTTTATTTCGCTTATTCTGTAACTGTAATTTCACTCATGTTTTTCCTTAATACAGTTCCACAGATATTGTAGACATTAAGCCAACTAATATGGAAGAATTAACGGAGGTGATAACGGCAGCAGAATTTCATCCGAAAGAATGCAATCTTTTTGTGTATAGTAGCAGCAAAGGAACTATTAGGTTATGTGACATGCGTGCAGCTGCACTGTGTGATAGGCATTCAAAATGTAAGTACTTATTTTTTAATTGCAATTGTGAATGTGAAAAACCTTGTTGAGAGTTGTTACAAGGTGTTGAACAGTGCATACTTATTTTATCGCTATTCTGAATTCATTAGTTCATAATTTTGATCATTTAGCATTTTAGTATTGTTATAAAATATGGGTGAAAATTGATCATAGGGTTGTGGGTTGAATAATAAGAGGGTACAATTTTAAATATCCTTTGTTCTTTCTCTTTTGAATACTAAGTAAATTATTAACATTTATGATTCAGTATGTGAAGAATATGAGAATTCAAATCAGTATGTTTTTCAGTTGATTGAATGCATTCTGCATTTGTGCTAGATGCACGAGTTTTCAATATAAATGCTATTTCAATGATATTAATTGTAAAAGTGAAGGAATGTGAATGTGAAATGCATAACAAGTGGAAGTAGGGTTTTAATCTTTGGGAGGGTAGAAGTTAAGGTTTGGAGAAATTATATAGCCTACACGCACAAAGAAAATCAAACATTTTATGAAATCAAATGATGAAGGCTTTAAAAAAGTATTCTGAGGCTTAGGGTAATTTTTGTTAGTTATGAATGCTTTTTAAGCTGGTTAAGTAATGTCTCATGGAAATGTATCTGATAAGGAGATTGTTCAAGCATTGTTTATATATCTTTATCACCTAGATTTGAAAACTTATTGAGCATCTCAGGATATCTAGCCATTCGAGATTTTTTTTCTTTTACTGTTTATTTGGTTATTTAATGTCATTGAAAAACAATATTTATGATTTCAGGGTTGTGAAATTATAATGAAATGTTGCTTTTCCATTGCAGTGTTCGAAGAACCAGAAGATCCAACTAATCGGAGTTTCTTCTCTGAAATCATTTCCAGTATATCAGATGTAAAACTGTCAAATACTGGACGGTACATGATATCAAGAGACTACTTGTCTGTCAAAGTGTGGGATCTTCACATGGAGACAAAACCTATAGAATCATACCCAGTGAGTATCCTTGTTTATTTTGATGGTATATATTATTAAGCACTATTCTTCATACAAACTGCATTTATTATTGTTAGGGGATGGCTTTAATGAAATGTCTTTTTTTTCACTTTAGAACAATGCCTTTTAGTATTTACAGTAATTGTACGTTATGACAAAGAAAATAACCCTTTTTTATAACATTTTTTTAAAAATTTAACTCACATTCATGATTTTTAAAGCATTTTCATAGATTTTAATGGTACTTGCTTCAAATAAAATTCACAAGATGCAACAAATGTTCTTCACAGAATTTCTGAGTAGCCTATATGATTTCTTTGCTCAGCAATCGTAATGTTAGCTCTTGTAAATATGTAATCTATGTATCCTGTGATGCCTATCAGATCAGTACATTTGTTGGTTTGGACAATTTCAAGATAACTAAAGACAGATTTCCTGGTAAAGTATAGTCCAAACCAAAAGTTCACTTGAAAGGAAAGGAAAAAGCCTCAATTACATCAGTAATCTATCCAAAGGCTTAAGTTGTTCAACTGAACTGGTTTTGATCAGAATTTTTACATCATTTTTCTTTGCTCTTACTTTTTGATTGTCGAAAAACATTTTAAAAGCATTTATTGATCATTTTTTACTATGCTTTAGTTCATCAAAATCCACCCTCTAATTACTGTAATAATAATAATAATATATTTAGATCTTTCTTTTTACCTTTATTTTCTTATATATACTGTCTCACTCTCAAAGAAGCCAAGTCTTGTGCTCAAAATTGATGTCAACAAAAATTGGTGTAATAATTCTGTAACCAAAAAAATAAATAAATTTTGATTAATGATGACAAATGGCAAAGAAATATTACTTACTTTCATGCCATATGTTTCAAGGTTTGACTAATATGTATATATGAAATGTTTTCAGGTTCATGAGTACCTGCGGTCAAAGTTGTGTTCATTGTATGAAAATGATTGCATCTTCGACAAATTTGAGTGCTGTTGGAATGGCACAGATACAGCCATTATGACTGGTTCTTACAATAATTTCTTTAGGATGTTTGATCGTACCACTCGAAGGGATGCTACTTTGGAAGCATCACGGGATATTGCTAAACCTAAAACATTACTGAAACCCCGGAAGGTAAGTAATTTCATTGTCCCCTAAGTACTATGTACATGAGCATACATTGTATGCTATTTTGAAAATATTTTGTGTGACACATAGATGTGGTAAGATGGAATTGAAAACTAAAACTTTAATTTAACCAATGAAAACTAAATCTTTTAATTTATTACAACTTTTTTCAAAGCATTTCAGTCTATAGGTTTTAGCTTGATGGTTTATGTGGTGCATAAGACAAGTGGAAAAAATAATAATTTTTTAATACCTATTGTAGACAAAATTGACTCCTTAGTTTTTGAATGTCTAGATCCTTGGAGGAGGTAGAGAATTTATGCATGAGAAACAAAAAGTTTTTTTTAGAAACTTACAATATTTATTTAAGAGTAAAATTCAGTTTAACAATGAAAGATTGCAGCTCCTAGTTCAAAATATTAGAAGATTCTGATACTACATTCAACACCAACTCTGTTGGTTTAGAAATGATGTGGCCGGTTTAGAAATGATGTGGTTGGTTTAGAAATGATGCCATAGTGGTTAATAAGTATTCTTCAGGTGTTGAAGCATTTCTGCTGGACTTGTTGCACTATATCTGTTTCTATTGCCTTCTGTGGTAGTCTTTGCTTGTTCATTGTTTTCACCATTTCATGTGGTTTTATTTTATTTTTTCAGCAAATTTTTTTTCATTTTCATTCCCATTTTCTCATTTTGAATTTTGCTTTTTGTTACTGTTTTTTTCTTGTAAAATTGTCCTTCATAGTAGCCATTTCTATGCTTCTGCTTTCCGTTGTATCCATTACCTAAATTTCTGAACGACTGTGCAAAAATGCTGCTGCAAATCACTAGTAGCTGCTGCTGAACCTCACCAAGGGGTTTCCGCAAATTAGCACATACACTGCTCTAGAATTACACGTACAATACTCTTGTATATCACTGTAATAAATTAAACATTTTAGCATAAAGTCTTCTCAACTACTGCTGTAATATAGTATAAAACATACACAGTAAAACAATTTTTTGTACTCAAAGTATTTAAAAAAGGTTGTTGTCCCAACACAACCCTTAAATGGCAAAATTTAATGGTGGGCAGCTAGGCAGTCTCAGGCACTGAGAGGTGTCTATGTTCTTGTTACATACCTAGGAGTTTGGGGTAAAATATTTAAATCGCCAATAATTATATATTTATGGGTTATCAGCAGTGCCATCTTCACTTTAACTGTGGTGTATTAGTGTCAGAGTTTCTTCTGACCCTAAACTCTGCTTATCTTTCATATAGCACTTTTTTTGTTTTCTAACAAATGAAATTGGCTTTCTTTTGTAAAATGATAGATCTTGAGAGTTACACAGTGTACTCCAATATTATACTATAAATCAGTGTAATACATTTAAAAATTAACCCTTCAACAACGAATGCCATCTTCATATTACATGTTTGTTACTCCTCTACTGACAGGCAGCCCTATCTAGATGTCAGACTGTCCTCTGTACAGCAGGATGTTCTGTGAAGACTAAAGTTGTCATAGCAGTGTACTAGGCTGGCTATCTGCTACCAAGCTGATGCTCATAGACCCATTCACTGAACCAATGTTTGTGCACTACCAAGTCCCTGTGTTGAAGGTTAAAAGAATTGATTTATAGCTTTTCTAACGGGGTAGAAACGTTATTATGGGATTTATCATTTTATTGATAAAATGTCAAAAATCTATTATCTTCATTGATTAGATTTGTATTTCTTAAGAATCAGAATCTTAAATACATTAGACAAAATGTATTTATTTGTGCTCATGATGATCTGTAGTTGCACTCTCTGCAATGATGAATGTTTTGTCAAGGAAAATGTTTGAATGTTTTATGAAGGGAATTGTTTGGTGGATAAACGATCTTAAGCACATTAAGGAAGGATAATACTTCATTTCTTACTTCATTGTTTTACTAACACTGATCAATTAAAAAAATGAGAATTGTCTCTTAGGACCAAACTTCGTTAACTTTGATATGCCTAGATTGCAGGTTTGGGTATATTTATCTGTCTATATATATAATTCTTTTTTTTTTTCCCTTCCCAAATTTGTATTGATTTAGGTACAAGATCTCTCTTTTTCAAATTGCAGTGTCTTATTACATTCTGTTGCTTGTAGATTCTGAATTAAATTCAGGATATTGGAATTTATTACATTCCCAGATTTACTGATTACAGTCACATAATGATCTGCAAATTTGAGTATCCCTTCACATTATTATTGTTATGATGGAGTTCTTATAGCCTTTTGTAAACATTTTCATTGCTAACCAAGTGTTTGGTTCATAAGATTGTATTCTATTGTGAAGTTTTCCCTTAAAATATTTCCCATTCTAGAACTTTAAGTTATTGTTGCTCTTAATTTCTGAAAAGTGTAAAAAAATATATTTTTGAAGTATTGATTTTTATTTTTTTGTTTTTATTCCAGGTTTGTACCGGGGGTAAACGTAAGAAGGATGAGATTAGTGTTGACTGCCTAGATTTCAACAAGAAAATTCTTCATACTGCATGGCATCCTTCAGAAAATATAATTGCTGTTGCTGCCACCAACAATCTCTTCCTTTTCCAGGATAAGTTCTAGCACACAGGCATACGACACACACACCAGGTAATTAAGTAGTCACAAGTTTTTAGTTTGTGCCTTTTGTGAACGTTTTCAAAATGTGCCAATACTGTGGGTGGAAGGAGATGAAGAAAGAACAAAGTGACTTTCAGTGTTTTATTTTTTCGCTTATGGTTGGTCCACTTGCAATGTTAAATTGCATTGAAGTTGTGTGCACATAGCTGTGTTACTGCTGTGCTACTGCTTGTCTTGCTGAATTTGGCTGGCTGATAAAATTTTCTTCAGTGCCTTTGCTTGTGTTTGGATCAGATTCAGAGAAGAATCGTTTACAGTAGCTTCTATGATTAGCATGATTGTGTTGAACAGTGATTTTCAACTTGTGATAACAATAAGTAGAAGTATTGTCTTGAATAGCCTAGGAGTGGCATAAATGTGACTTAATCAAGATTGTAATCGAACTGTTACTGTTAGGTTTTGTCTGAATGAGCAAGTGTTTTCATATTTACAGAAAATGTCTTTGCAATAAGAATGTACATAGGGATGTAATGGGGCATTGCAAGAAAGCACATGTGATTTGAGATGGTGTGAAAGCCTGTACTAATATGAAAATATATTTTTCTGTCTTCTGCCAAGGGTAATGAGTACAGTGAAATTTATTAGAAGTAGATCTTTCATCTCTTTTAGATTTTTCATTCATAAGTGTACCTTTCTCCCAGTTGGCACAAGAAAACTTGGTGCTTTCTTGTGATGCTAACAGTACATTTGTATTGCAGTCCTTTTCATGTTAATTGTAACTCTTCGTAACTTCTGGTTTATGTGGGAAGTGCTTGTTAATTGCACTTGCTTAATAATTCAAGGTTGAAGTATTTTTAACATATGTGACTGCTGTAAGAATGCTTGGTTATGAAAGCATGGATATTATTGTGCAATTGCATCAGTTTCTTTTCATGAAAATATGTGCAATTAAAATTGGAAGAAAAAAAAGTGAAAAAACGTTCTTATTTTCATTTGCTCACCATATCATACTGATAGATTTATATTTATTAATAATGCATTGAATTCTAGTTCAATATTAGACATGCATGCACTTCAATAAATGAGAAGAAACTAGTATTAAGCAAATAGAATCTTGGCATTCATATACATTGTCAATGGCATAATTATTTTAAATTTTGTTTATTTCTAGTGAGATTGAACAGAGCCAAAATCCACTTTCCATGTAGTCAATAAAATTAATCCGTTGAGAGATTGAAATCACTCTTTTGCCCAGAAATGAGGTTTCTCCGTCCCTGGTGTTGGGTTTTGTTGCAGTTTATTATTCCTCTTGGACTGTGTAAATGGTTCCTATTTGGGGTATCATATTCTGATAAATCCCTTAATATAAGTAACATAATCTTTCTTTGCATATAAGAGGAGCATCATGCCACATGGTGTTGTAGACCATCATCCAATTTTAACTTGTGTAAGATTGATATTCATGAATGAAATGCAGCATGGGCTTTCTGAAGAAACAGTCAGTTTTGAAGTCCCCATTAGCATTACTTCATCTAATCGAGTGTTGTCTTTGATTGCACTAGTTTGTATACTTTTTATGTCCTCAAAAGGTTCATATTCTTTATTTTGAGAGGTTAATTTATCATATCTGACTGCAAATATATTTCTAGTAGTAATTTGTATATGCTTTAATATTGCTAAGCATTTTTAGATGTGGGTATCTTTGTTGTGTGAATGCTCTAATTTCACAATTGTATCTGTAGGGTTTGTGGAATCGTCTGGCCTTGCATGTTTTCCTTGTATAGTGGATGTCCTAATTATTGATTGTTCTTACAATGTGGCTATTCAGATTTTTGTCGAAGTTATTTTATAGCTTTTATGTAAACAAATTGGCATGCCAATTCCATTATTTGGAGGATAATACCTAACCAAATTGCAACTTTAGTTGCACTATTGTGCTAAAACATATCGCAAAAGACCCACACCATGCCTCTAAGTAGAGTTCATAATATTGTTATTTCACATATATGACTAAATCATGTTCAATCGCATCAAGGAAACCTCAAATCTATTGGATTTTTATGTTCAGATGATGAAAACAAAGTTCCCTATAAAACTTGCTATTAACTAAAGTATTTCAAAGAGATAGTTGTATATGTCCAGTTGTTTCTACTTTTTATAGGGCTCATTGTTTATCCTTTCATTATTGTAGAATACAATGCTATTTAAAGATTTTAATTATAGGGCAAGAAAAGAGTTTTTCTTGTGAACAAGGGACCTCACATTAACATGGCAAAGTATTCGTAAGTATGCAATTAAGCTTACATAATTAGTTCACAAACTTAAATTTTTCTAACATTTGGTTATTTGTTTTGATTTTGCACATCGTTGCATTCATTTATATTTATTATTTATTTTAGTCAAGTAGAAATTATTTTTAAATCATTTCTCATACTATGATATTTTAGAGGTATTTTGTTATGTAGTTAAAGTTTGTTGTTCATAAAATCTGGATACTAAATAAATCTAATTAATAATTGTCAATATAATATTGCAATGGCTAGTTTGAATGGTGCTGGAACTATTGCTTTTGTGTGTATGTGTGTTGTTCATATTTTCTCAGTTTTTAAACATACATGTTTTTATAAATTGAAGTAGACTACAGTTTTTGTTGTGTGTTTTCCCTACAAGCATGTGGGTATCATTTGGTTTTGCTTCTAATTATATATACAGTAAGGTGATCTGATACTTCATTATTACTTTGGCTTTATAAGTTTTATACGTCTTTCAGTATTGATGTATTTAAGTAATTGTAAAAATAATTCAACCTATAAAAACTATGTTCTTCTAGAGATTGAAACATTAGGTGCTTTTTCTAAATGCAAAATGTTGATTTTGATAAGCTTAATTAGGTTATTTAATGCAAAAGTTAGAATTTTTTCTCAGAATTGCCAATAAAAAACTAGGAACTTATTTGATAATTTCTCAGAAAAGAAAGGAATGCTGAGAATTTAATAATTATTATATTATGAACACAAAATTAGCACTCTTCTATTTTCTCAAGCATTGGCTTGTGTGGAGGGTTGACCAATTGCATGCTTATAAATATTTAACACCTGTACAGATACAAACTAAAAATGCTGTAAATTATGTAAATATTGATTTTGATGGAGTGAATGTACCAAGATCCTGTGCCTTATTTAGAATAAGCTGAATTATTAATGTAACAAATGGCTTTTATAACTGAACAACTTTAATGTTGAAAATCATCTATTTCTAATTTGTACGTTTGTGCCAAACATCCTTAGAAATTGAATTGTACATTTTATTGTTCTCATTTCGATTTCATCTCTGTAGTGCATGCATTTGTTTCCAAATATGTGTGCTAGCAAAATGTTTTTAGTGTTCTGTGAAAGGCAGGAAGTTGTAATGAGTAGTTTACAAGAGATTTTGAGTAGTGAGTGAACCACTAAGTTTCTTCTCAGAACTAGGATAGAATGCTGGTATGACATTGTACTATTTTTTGTTGCTAGTTAAACTTGAATTGAATAACAATTTTAAAATGAGTAAATTGCTCTTCTGCATTAAAACATTTCTTTTCTTTCATATGTAGAGGAGTGAATTGAATTACTGATAATTATCTTGTTGTACTTGTGCTCATTCCTTGTAATTGCAGAGCAGTTAATTTTTGAAATATCATTGATCCAAGCAAAGGTTTGAATTTAGCTTGCTAATAGGTGTATTTTTGAGAGGTTCAGATCTTTTGTGTTCCTCCTAGGAGTGATTGTGGGCTGCTGTAAATAAAGATTCTTCTGTATTTCACCTTCCCAGCACCTTATCAGACCTACTGATAATATATTCATACCATTAAATCCTGAAAGATTCATTGGTGTCAAAATGTAATGGGATGATATCAGCTCCTAAAATGCAACACAATTTTACTTGTGCTAGAGGACTCTAGTTGACACCTGGTGACCAGATTATTTATTTTTCAATGAGAAAACAAAGTTTTTCTTGTGTTTATTTTTTCCAACTTGGGTAGAGGCTTTCTATATTTTTTTCTATATAATATTTGCATTATTCCAATGTGTTTCTACTTCTTGTTTATTTGCATAAAATAATTTCTTATCTGGTCTTAAGTTGTGATTAATCACAGCAGAAAATTATTCAGGAGATATTTCGGTTTGTTAAAGTTGAAATGCAGATTAGCATCACGATTGAACAATAATAGCAATAAGTTTCTCTCAAAGTTCTTGGCCATTGTGATAGTGAATGTTTTTAAGTGACAATGAATGGCAAATTTACATATATTAATGTAGTGTAGTATTACCAAAATTATGTAATGTAGTGTAGTAGTATATATAACTAGTTGGTCTAAATCAATTAATAAACAAAAAAAAGCTATTCGAACAAATTAAAGTAGTATTCTACCCTTTTTTTGTCGAAATTAAAACCTGCATCAGAATTAATGCAGATAATGTTCCTTGCAGCTGAAGGAAAATGAGTGTGTTCTATGAGATTCATTGAAAATTGTGTTTTGAATTCTTTTAAGTAAACAAATTTTGAACAAAATGTTACTGTTGGTTACAAAAAAAACAACCTCATAGTAAAGTTTTAACCAATTGCTGGCAAAGCATTCCTACATAATGTATAGTGTAGAGACGTTTGAAACTACATACAGTATTTCTGATAATTTAACAGATCAGCTCTTTAATTTTACTAACAGTGAACCGTCATTCTTCATACCACCACCATCTGAGAGTTTAGGTGTGCCATATCCTCGGTGCTGTATTCTCTGTGCTCATTATTTCACCAGCTGTTCTTGTTCTCTCCATCTTCTTCCTCATTCTTCTCTACCTATAGATAGGTGTTCCAGTGCTAGCTTCAAGACCGCTACGGCTCTACTGCCCTGACAATCTCGGCCATCTGACCGGCTATTTTCCTATTTATCACTAACTTTACTCTTTTTTATTTCTTTGCCCCAAAAGGAACTAATGTTGGTTTCCTCGCATAATATATTCTATATTCTTCTGGAATTTTATTTAATTCATGACTTGCTTTATGCAATTAATGTTTTGTTCTTGTCTATTGCTGGAACACATGCATTTAATTATTATTTTTTTATTTGATGTTTTCTGCTTGTTGTATTTCTTGACTGATACTTAATTTGTGATGTGAAATTAGGGTATAGTGTAGAAACATGTGTTAAGATCCCAAGACTGTTACAGTTAAAATCAATGACTAAACAGTGAAAAAATATATTTAGAGAAACACGAAATGTAATTTTGTGCAGAGTCTAGTTTTTTATGTCATTAGGTAACATAGCTTTGTTGGTATCAATCAGATCTTGTATGATAATCTTAAACTATGAATATTGATCATGATAAGTCATTCTCAAATTTTAAGAAGGCCATTTTAATGATGAATTTGCAAATTGAAATCACATCAAGTTCTTCTGTTTTTGACATCTCAATTTGCTTTTCTTCCCCTCTATCTTAATTCCTTCCATTTTTGCATTAAACATTTTAAAAGTTTTCTTAGGGAACTTTTTTTTGTTTTAGTTTTGCAAAAACAGTATAATCCATTTGATTAATATGAATAGAAAATAAAGTTGAAAGGAATGGTAAATAAATAAGCGATTTCTTATCCCGGTCTTCAGTTGTGTCTTACTATTTGTTTACTCAGCTTTTTTGTAATCCATCATTGTCAGCTATTTGTGTATAGACTTTGACTATTTGTGTATAGAGAAACTTCCTCTTTTACTGTAGTGTCCTAATCAAAATGGAGGTATTCATGGTCTTGTCAGTCTTTTGTTCCTTTATTCTCTCTTCCTTTTTTTAAGTGATCATGTCGTGTTTTTGTTTTTACATGTCTTAATCTCCTTTTTGTAACCATAAACTGATCTTATATTCCTCATTTGGGCTGGTGCAATTTTTTGTCTCTGTGATTCAAATATGTAAAATAAATGTGGCAAATGTATTATGTGTAATATTTGTTTGTGTAGTCATGTTGAAAGTACTCTTTTTAGACTTCTGTTGCTATCTGTCAGTATTGTTTCAAAATTATTTTGTGATTTTGCTAGCTCAGTATGGGGCGGTTGATACTTGTTGCCAATTACTATTTTTTAAACATTTTTTTATATTACATGTTTTTTTTTTGCTTTAAACCCCCATGCTTTTTGGATTCACAAAATGTTTTCTCTTGTCTATCCTCTTGGGGTCACACAATTTGTCTTGTCTATCCTCTTGGGGTCTACCTCATAGTTTGTTTGTTTGAAAATCATTTAGGAGTTTTACTGGATCATCTGTATTGAGTGGATCTTTTTGCATGTCCGAACTCTTTGTCTTCAGTGTATCAGTTTTTGGAGTAATTGTAGATGCATTCTTTTCTCCATTTGTTCATATCTTATAGGCTGAATTGTATACCTATTAAAAGTTAATTGTTGTTTGTCTCAATTAAGGGGGGAAATTTTTTCTCACTTTTTAAAAACAAAATTCAAGAGCAGTTCTAGGAAATATTCAGATGTTTGCAATTTCTTTATTAATTAAATACATTATTATTCATTTCATATAGTATAAAATTGTGAACTTCACTAATGTCATTGTGGTGTTTACTGTGGATTAATGAATTGTTGGATCAGTAGATTATTTAGGGGCAATGTTGGATGGAAATATCTCTTCCTATATGTTAGTTATCTGCAGGGCTCGGATTCTGATGACCTAAAAATTCTTTGAAAGCGACCTATAAAATGGCTTAAAAATAAGGAGGAAATTACGTGATTAAAAAGAAAATACTCAAATTTGTGTGACTTTGTTTATTCAATGAATTTTACAATTTTAAATAAAATATATTTAGATGAAATTATATTTATTATAAATTCTTTATTTTAGAAGGAAGTGCATTCCTGAGCTCTGATCTTTGAACCATCAGTTTTGAAAGTTTGAACAAGTTACCGAAGATCTGAGTAATTTTGGAGTTTGAAAAACAGACTCCACTGCAATGTTGCATTTCGTCATGAACTGATTATTCAGTAAAAACTTTATTTTAGTTTGTCATTTTAAATTCATGAATCATAGACTAACAAAAAATATAAAAAGGAAACCAATGTGTAAAAACGACAATGACCCAATAAATATACATTTCTATCACGTATATATCGCGATAAACATCATTTACATGTTAGCTACGTCTAGAATGCACCAATGAAAAGATGACACGTCATCAGAATTCGAGCACCAGTTGCCAGGTACTTTGCACATGTATTATGTCTCCTATTTAGTATTCTGGAAAATGGAAGAAAATGTAAATTTTTGTAATGCTGCATCAACCCAAAACAACGGTTCTACATTTAAAGATAGTGTGTCTGCTTTTCAAGTGGCTTTGTATATAAATAAATGCTGTGGCAGTGTTATGTTATTTTGTGTTCATGGATGTATCAGTAGCACCTAAACAGATCTTACATGTGCCAGTGATGTTTGTTTAAATAGATAATTCCCCTGAAATTAAGTAAAATTGATTTTTCTGATTCTCCAATTATAAGAACAGATTTTCACATCCTTTAACTTAGCCGTATTGCTTACTAGATTTTTAAAAGCCTGATCTTCTCTGGTACAGAGGGAGAGTAAAATTTGTGTCAGATTTTTAAATAGTGCTTTGTTTTTTAAATTATTGTTTTTTACTGGTTCTTTTTTGTTTCAGTATGTGAAGTGCTATTGACTGTAACTCAGTAAGCCTTACCAGTAATTAAAAACGGAAGCTATTATCTGTAGACGACAGCTGCTCTGTGCATAAGCAATGTGTAGTCTGCTCATTGTGTCTGAAGACGGGTTGAAGTTTCCATGCTGATTGAAAGAAGAAAAGAGGCATGCGTGTCAGCATGTTCCTTGTATGTGATGATAAGATGATAGTGGCCCAGAAGAGAAGGAGAGCTTAGGATCTGTGGAAGATCGTTTTAATGAAATGAACTTAAATGACTGTCCCCATATCTGTGATCAGTTAATAGGGAACAGTGGAAAATCGTAATAAATACAACAGAACGAAGTGCTCCCACATGGGGGCTGTATATACAATGTTCTAGAGTAATTTTTTCTATATACTTTTTTTATTTTGCTGCCATGCACGATTCGTTGAAACGATAAAGAAAGATAGTACATAATGAACTGTATAGGGCTTCGTATTGCCATATGAACTCATTTCAATAATTTGTACAGATAACTGAACACATGTTCTGTTCATTGTAATTGTAAGGATGATATTTCTTTCCAAACTTTACTTCAAAAAGCAGATGATGATTTATATTTTAGAAATACTCGTGCTGTCCAAATAAAACAACAGCAAAGTTTGGGAAGAATGACAGTACATACATTTAATGACTCAATAAGTTATAAATAAAAGACAATAGAAATTAATAAGAAGAATTTGAGCTAAAAATGCAACAGAAATCTGGTGCATCAATCTTACATCACAAGTTTTTCTTTGCTGCTTCATTTTTTGTTTGTTATTTTTGCTTCATGGCTGGCAGTTGGGGGAAAAACACAAAGTGATGCGTCCATTGGATTCTTCATATACTTATAAATAGGCACTGATCAATTGAAAAAATGGATTCCTATTCGTGTGCCCCTTATACAATCAGGAACGTACCATAAGTATTCACTTTTTCATGTGTACATAAAAGCATTAGTGAAGAAATTTAATCAGTGATGAATTCCGTAAATTTATAATTAAAGGAAAAGCTATGCAGTTAGTATTATGGGCATAAACATCATTTTGCATGGATATATAAAAAGCATGAACGCTGTACAATATTGTATTACCAGTGCTTGGCCATGTGTACATTTTTTATATTTTTTTTAAATGTATGGACATAAAAATGCACAAATCATGTTGTTACAGTTGGTGAAGTGTGATTGTGGCAATGCTTTACCTTTTTCTCTCCCTGATCAGAGTGAATGAACTGATGGCTACTCTTAAAGTTGATAGATTGTAAGGAAGTGCAGAACATACAAATTTGTAATTCTTGCATTTCCAAAAATATAATTTGGTCTGTTTGTTATGGAGTATTGCAAGTTTTGTTTTTCACATGGCTGCTATACTGAAGAATGCTGGTTATTGTGACAGAAAAATATTGTGGGTATAATTATATATTCTTAGATGTTAAGATAAATGTTAGAACAGCTTGAACATATGGCTATTTGATGCAGAATGTGCAAGTGAAAATTGTTAACTTATTTTGTGGAGTGAATGATCATTTATCAGAAATCATGATGTGAAATAACAGGAACATTAAATATACTTTTCATTTATTTTTTTACTATTTCTATTGTTTAATCTGGATATATCACTACCTCTATTCATTGATCCTAATAGATGTTGAATTATATAGTTTGCCTTGTTACATTAATTAATGAATTTATCTTGAAGTAAATGAATACAAATTCTTTTGGTTAGAAAATAAGTATAATATTTTGTAATTTAAGTGGGTAAGAGACTGGTAAGGATTTTGAATTAAATTTATTTGTACATAGTTAAATTAAGAATTGGGATTGGTGGTAAAAAAGTGTTTTTTTGAAAAAATGTCTTTGCAATAGGGAAATCAAACTGATTTCCATTTTCATGTACCATTCTGAAGATATGCTCATGGAAGAAAAAAACACAGCAATACGTTTTTTGAGGACAGGAATGTGGTTGAATTCCTTCTTACTGTGATGATAGGGAATGTGATATCAGAAACCTATAGTATTTTCAATCTGTATTCAACATGTGCATTGTATATTACTTCCCTAAGGATTTTTAAGACAAGAACTGAAGGCATATTTTCATTATGCTAACTAATAAACAAAGTTGAATTTTGAAAAATAATTCAATGTGTTTTGGTTAAATAGATTGAAAAGATGACAAAATTGTAACAGATGAAGTTATGACTATTCCTTCAAATGATATAAAAATTCAAATTTGTTGCAAGACTTTATGTGCATGTGATAGAGTCAGATATAACTTTTTCACTGAAACTTGTGCTTTGTGCTGGCAGCATGTACCTGATGTTTCTGATGCCTGTGGTTTCTCACCAGTGAAGGATGAAAGCAACGAATAGCTTTAGTTAGTTCATTGTTTAGTTTGTGGATGTGCTAAGTTCTTAAGTGCATTTCAACATGACTACTTTCTACCCAGGGTTAAGGGCATTGTTTCATGAGGAAGGAACTTTTATTTTGAATCTTTGTCTCTATTGTCCCAAGTTAGATAATTTGATATACCAGTGCTCCTGAAATGGGGTGAAAATGTATGGCATACTGAACTGGTGTAGCAATATTTGTGATATGTAATTGTAATGTTCCATGTTGTCTGTGCATATTGTTAATTTTCTGATCATATTTATAATAGAGTACAAGTCAATAAGAATTTCATCCCAGATTTTTGTCAGCTAAGTTCTTTGTATTCTCTGCATTGTCTTGAATTTGGTGACGTCATCCCTTTTAGAAGTGCGGTGTTGCAAATACATGTTTAATTTAGTGGAATGAATAGAAGTAGGCCATTTGTATTTTCAAAAAGTGAGTGCCTTTTCAGTGAATGTGCTTGTGACAAATCCAGTTTTGTAACAGCAGAGTAGAGAACACAAAATTTTATGTTAAATGTAAAGCTTTTAAATGGATCTAAGAAAATATTTGCTATTTATTAGCCTTGTTAGGGACATTTTCTGGTGTATTTTAGCAGTATGGTATTTCTCAGTTGTGTGAACAAACAATCTAGCAATTAATGTTTGATATGTCTAATGGCGTAGGAAATTATTAAGTATTCTAAATTATAGATGGAGGTAATTTTCACTCCAATTTTAATTTTGTTTTGGTAAAAACCGTGTGAAAGAAGACCAGATTTGATTTATTCTCAGATTTAAAGTTTAGCAGAAGAAACTCTTGCTACAAGTTGAGAAATACTGAAATCAAATTTTTGTGATGTGGTTGCAATTATGGTCATAACTTTTTTTTAGATTTGTATGTTGTATCTTCCATTTTGTCTCGTGTAATTTAATTTCATCTTGTATGTGAGTGTGTGTGGTTAAAATTAGTCTTGTGTTTAACAAGATGCATTGTTGAATGAGACTTCATTCTGCGCATGAAAGTTGAGTTGTCAAGAAACAGCTTTGTGGAAACCACAAGCTGGTCGACTGATGTGACAACTGTGATGAATGAATGACAGTGAAGAGGGTGGCATTTGGTGTGTTTAGCTCATGGAATTATATTTTATAACTTCACATTCTGTGTCTAATTGTAATGTTTGGAAATCTGAAGACAGGCCTTCTGTTTCAATGTGATCATTTATTAGTTTGATTTATTTGAAAGTAGGTTTGGTGGAAAATAAAAGAAATAGTGCTCTGTAAACCAGTTAGAATAAAAATATATAGATGTACAAATGATGAAGTTAATGCTATGGTTCCTCGTAATTAATAATGCTTGATGTTATAAGTTCTGCTATTCAATTGTGAATATTAAAACTTATCGTATGGAAATAATAAATTTCTGTTAAAATTAAATAAAATTTCTTTGAAAACCTATTTTAAAAATTGAAATAATTTAACGATTTTATTTAAATTTTTCCTTCCTCTGTACCCGGCAGAGACAGTTCATTTCAGCCATTCAGAGTTAAACACTCCATTGTATAGCTAAGCAGAACATTCTTTTCTGGTTCTTAATTTTTTTTTCATTTATAATCTAGAATGATTTCATATCATGCTGTACTGTTTCGATTTTCTTCCCATTTTAAATGTGTTTTTCTAAATTGTCATTGATGGTGCTTTATGGTTACATTAATTTTAATAGCCATATGTTAAAGCATGTTCCCATGTGTTCAGGTATGGAATATTTACTTTTGTTGCACTTAGGTTTCCTTACAGTATTGATCAGAAAAATTATTATTATTATTTTTTTTTTTTTGGAAAATTTAATTTCTTTTTTATCAGAATGCTAAATACTGAAAAAAAATGACAGCTTAAAATTACAGGTAAAAAACTAACTGTTACAATCACATCTTTGTGAAATGTCTATCAAATTCCATGCTTTGTAATTTGGTCTAAAAACAACGTGAATAAATCAAGAATTGAATCAAACAGGCATTTTCCAATTTTTTATTTATGTTGTTTCAGAGAGAAGCTATGATGTAAGTAGGCAATAACCAAATTTGAGTTAAAAATGTGGACATTCGAATTTTCAACATTCCTTTCAAGGAATGAATTTTTGAATATAATACAAACTGCTTTAGATAGTAATGAAAACATGAATGAAATCAGTGAAAGAGAAGTCCAAGAAGTAGTAAGGTTGATGAAAATGGAAGATCTGCTGGACCAGATGATATACCAATAGGATTAATAAAAAGTAGCAACAGCATATATTACAAATATATATACACACACTACTAAAAGGAGATTGTAATGAATGCACAAATTATTGTGACAAATTTTGTTTCTAGTATATATGGAAAAATTATAAAAACCATATTGGAAAGCTTTATCAAAGGTGTTGAAGAACAAAACGGTTTTCGGGCAGGAAGATTTTCACTGATGGAATATTTTGCCTTTGTCAAGTAATAGATAAATGGCTAGTACGTAATCTAAGAGACATGTGGTTCTCGTAGATCTCACAAGTGCCTATGGCAGTGTTCCATTAGATAAAGTACACGAATTTTGCTGACATCAAAACGTAAATATACAATTATTAACGGCAATTCGAAACCTGTACAATGATATGACAAGCTAAAAATTGGAAGAAAGGTAACTAATCCATTTAAAATATCTAAAGGTCATAGACAAGAATGCTATATCGCTCCTACTCTCTTCAAAATATACTTAAATGTTTCTCTTGAAAATTGGCGTTGTAAATGTTGGAATATGAGGTTACAAGTTGACAATGACAAATGACAAGGTGACAAATTTTATTCTTCACTTCACTGATGACCAGGTTATTCTTGCAGAGGATGAACAAGATATAGATTAAATGCCGAGGAAACTAAATGAATGTGCATCTTAGAGTTAAATTATGAATCCATCAGAAACTGAGTATGTTGTTGCAGGGACCTTACTTAATAATTGGGAGCATGTGTATTAAAAATACAACAGCTTTTAAGTACCTTGGTGTGCATATATCAAAGGAAGGTGGTTGTGTGGAGTAAGTAAAACATAGTATCTCTCAAGGGAGAGTAGTGACAAGACTGTTGAGTAATGTTTTGCATAGCCAAAAAATAACAAGCAAGATAAAGCTATGAATATACAAGTCGCTGGTTGAAAGCATATCTATATATGGTTCAGAAGTTTGGATTTTAAGTCAGGATGAAGAGCAAAAATCAATGGAAATGAACTTTTGGAGATGCTGTTGTGGCCTTACAGGATAAAGTACCCAATGTTGACATAAAAAAATCAAATGGTAATTGATATGATATAATGGATGTAGTTGATGCTAAAAGATTGACATAGTATGGTCATATCCAAAGGATGACAGAAAATCAGCCTAAAAACCGTTTTAAAATGGCTACCTCAAAGAAACAGAAAGCATGGCAGACCAAGGAAAACATGGAAAAAGGAGATAGAAAAGGCAATGAAGTAATATCTTCAAGAGGAAGATAGGACGTGGTTCCTGGGATGCGAGGAATGGCGTCAGGAGTCAAGCACCTTGCTAGTACTACTACTCTTCTCAAGAAGTATGTTACTTCAATTTTGATTCTTATTTGGTTATTAAGAATTTCTATAGTGAAACTTCTGTTGTGTGTTTATGTAGAATTGTTGTTTTCCAGTGATTTATTTTCATATGTTTCTGATTTGTGTTAGTTTTATGAAATTTATTTCTTTATGCATTGTTTGGGTAATATTTTTGGACTAGTGTATTCTTATAACCACTAATTGCCATTTAAGATTGGTCTCAGTTTTTAACAACGCCTTGGATTGCTTGTTTGCAGGAGTTTCCTTACTTGATTCAAGGCCTGGTAAAGACTTCAGAGGAGAATATCTCAAGAACATTTGAAATGATAGATCTACTTAGGAAATAAAAAATCTTTGTTTTGATATTATGTAAAAAATATTTATTTACACAGTTGCCACTTTTTGGAATATCTGGGCCAATGGAAGAATTTTGGTTATAGTGAAGTCAGGGAATTTTGTTACCATCTGGAAATTTTGTTCTCACCCTTTTTTATTTTACTCAAAAAGTTTGTACTTTGTGAACTTTGCTACTTTTCATTCAGATTTTACCATAATTTGTAAAAGTACTAAACATAACATATAATGATGTGAATTACCATTCTAACTATTAATAAAAATGGAAATCCCCAAAATACACGATTAACTTGAAAATTTACATTATATTTCTTCATAATTATCATTGTAATTGCCCCATTTATCAAATATTGTTCATAAAAGACCAATGTTTACTATTCTGGAAAAGTTCTTGAAGCACCCTTATTTGAAGCATAAATTGGGAGAATATAGTTGTGTTACATCTCAATATTTTATTCTCAAACTCATCAATTACTTGGGTGTGTGGTTAAGTGAAAAAAAAAAGACCAAAGTCTTGAAAAAGTCAGGGAATTTTGTTTCGCGGAAATAGTGTCAAAATTCCTTTTTTGCCAATTCATTTACTATTTTTATTTTCACTCTTCTTTTTTTCTTCCACATTGTGTGATATACAGGAAATGGAGAGGCAAATATTTTTTTACCAGGGACATTTTGAAAACTGAACTGAAAATTGGTAATGCTGAGTTAATGTCCTGAAAAAAGTTCCTTGCATTATTCACAGGTTTTCAGTTGTTCTTGATATTTGAGTTTGCATGCCAGTAATTTTGTATGAATGGTGAAAAATGTTTGTCAAATTTCTGTGTATACACTGTAGTTAACAAAAATGTATTAGCACCAATGATTCTGTGTTATTTGCATTGACGTCTTTTGAACATGGTTTTCTTTACTATTGCATATTATGTGCTCTGATTCTCTGATGGTGAGTTAATGGAATTGTTTTTGTTTAGTTCACTATATCAGTATTCATCCTGATAACTCCTGTACATTTGGCCAAGTATTTTTCACC